GATCATCTCAATAAAGCGTTCTAGCATGTAATAAACCGAGTTCCATCTAATGCATACATCCCGGATAAATTTTTTTACTGACCCCTCTGGGACCCCATTTTCCACTTTAATTTTTCTCAATTTATCTGAGTTGATGACACTATTTGTTACATATTTTACGATATTCCGAATGTTGCTTAAAACAAGAATTATATTTGCATTTTTTACCCCTGTTTCAACGACTAAATTCAGAAAGTGCGGAAAGCACGGTAAGTGATTTTTTTCAGAAATGAAGGATTTAATAGCCGCAACAATGTGAGCACTGTTATCGGTAATAGCACATCTAATTTTGCAGGTTACGTGGGTATACCCCCATTCGTCACATATAGATGTCAAAGTAGTCGCTAAATATTTCGCAGTGTGTCGCTCAGAAAGCTGTCTTGTTGTAATAACACAATTTACGTGCTTTAAACCTTCTATAAAATGCAAGGTTACTCCTAAAAATGATTTTCAGCCATTGTTTCGGTCCACACATCCATGGTCAGACATACATTCGACACTGCACTTATTCTTTTTTTATAAATTGTAGCGACCACATCATACACTTCATTAAGCCTCTTCTTAAATGTTTCACTGGAGGGAACTTTGTACAAAGGAGCTGTTTCTTTCATCAACCTTAAAAATCCCTCACCTTCTACAAAGCTAAAAGGCGTCATGTCCTTGCAGATAAAATGTAATAATATATATATATGTATATAATATATACAGCCATTGTTACGTTGTTGTAAACTTTGCCGTTTTCTGAAATTTTTATAATTTTATTAAGTTTTTCAGATGTAATATGTACACATGTATTGACACACCTTTGCTTTCATTTATTTTCGTCGGCGTATCATCAGTTCCTTTCTTACAGTTCATTTCCTTTAGAATTCGCCTGAAATTCAAATAAAGTAAAAGTTGGAAATATTGCCACGTCTCACACTCTCTTAACCACACTTTCAGTAAATTAAGTAAAATTTTAATGCAACGCTTGTTACATGTAGAAACTTCATACTCTTTCAAACCCTTAATGGCTCAACACATATACATATATTTGTACATATGTATACACACATCCCACACTAAAATACACTATTAAGGGGCGGTTACTCAATGTCTGGTTAACACTAATCTGCGGCTAAACATCGTTATCGACGTTACCGACTCCCTGTTATATGCATGGAGTCGAAGACGTCGATAACGATGTTTAACCGCAGATTAGTGTTAACCAGACATTGAGTAACCGGCCCTTAGTCTACTTACTTCGAAATACCTATGTTACAGTCTACATTTATGTTGTGGACTTTCAAATGTTTGTGAAGATTTGAAGTGTTTCCACAATGCTTCACCACTTTTGAGCAACGTTTGCATGTGGCCAAAATTCCATCTTTTCATCAAAATAGGACCACACCTCTGACGCCTTTCGATTCATAATTAAATGTACATATATCTACATATATATCTCTATTCACACGAACAAAAATGAAACAATTCAACATAATTACATTTAGTTTATTTTTCACTAAAATTACCAACAACAGTTACACTTACTTTACAATATCTGTTATTTCCTGCGTAAAGCAATTTATAATCACACCGTCTGATTTACTTGTATACCATTCAATTCGCAAGAAGAATATTGTATAAATGCCAATAATAGTGTACGATAAAAGCAACTGAAAACCGATTATATTTGTACACACCAACCAGCGGGAATATAATGGCACTTATTTATTTGCAAATTCGTCTTTTATAGAAAGCTACAAACGGTACAATAGCGTGATTTGTTAACGTTAGATTTTATGATGTTTACAGGTTCAAGAATATTATATATAAAGATGGAAGTATGTATGTATGTCTGCAAAACATAAATAATCGAATGACACTTAATAGGGTTTTCGTTTCTCCATAAAATTCTGCCCTGATGCTGTCACTTTAAAATGCTGTGTTCTTTTGTAAAATGAATGCAATCTTTGCAGAGGGCAGAGCTATCTTTTCTCACAGGGTTACCCTAAAAATATGGGAAAATGCAACACATTTCGCCCTCTCTGGCTGGAAAAACGCTGCTTGTTTGTAGGAACAAAAGTAATAAATGACCTCTTGGAGTCGTCGTCCTCTTCTTCAGATGATGAGGAACTCGGCGTGCTTTAACATCCAAAAGTAAATTGCTTACGTGTAAAGGACTTTATAGATGAAGTAGTCAACTTGTACTCAGGCCGCGAGGTCTTTTTTTTTCATACGGGCACGGATTAGTATTTCGCTCACCAAGTTTCAGAGAAGCATACTATCTTTGTGAAGTTTGGTTTACGCTTTATCCAGTGGGTGGAGTTTCATGAAGAACGCTCATGCATTTCCCCTTACTGCTCTCAAACTAGTGGGCAAAATACTAAACACTCCTTTCATTCGTTTATATACTGTATATTTTTATATTTATGCATTTGTAGTTTAAACGAAATTTTCGCGTTGAACGTGAAAGTGCGGAATATTTAATTGCAAAATATACCAGCAGTTCCTACAACGTAAGGAGAAATTACAAAGGGGGGAGACCACAAGCACCACCAAACACGCATGTGTTATTGTTTTTATGGTAACAATGGAATGATTGCTATATGTACGTATGCACTAATTGTAAATAATTTTCTTATTTAGGTTTTGCAGCAATAAAACAACTATACGCGAAGTTAGCAATCTATTTAATATGTCATATTCTTGTGCCCATAACGTGCTAAACCATGTTATGTCGTTTCTGCTTGAGCTTTCACCGAACATCATAACATTCCCTCAAAGTGCTGCTGAAAAAGAGATTATAGCAAACGATTTTGCGGCAATCTGTGGCTTTTCTAACGTATTAGGCTGCATTGATGGAACCTACATCTCGACAAGGGCGCCGAAGCATAAAATTCGCTCAACATATATAAATAGGCACGATACCATTTCCGTGACTATGCAGGGTATATGTGATGCAAATTTAAAATTTATAGATGTTTTCACTGGTGTGCCGAGTAAAGTGCATTGAAGTTATCCTTCATTGGTAAGGAACTTCAAAAGCTTTGTCTACCAAAATATCATCTGTTAGGTGATTCTGCTTATCCGATCCGAAATTACTTGTTAACGCCATATAGGGATCACGGGAATTTAACTGAGCAAGAAAAGACGTACAATTACAAATTTAGTCAAACTCGGGTTCGAATAGAAAACGCCTTTGGATTGTTGAAATGTCGCTTCCGGCAACTTATGCGATTAGATTTTCATGAAGTTGAAACTACAGCGAAGTTTATAATGGCATGCTGTGTACTTCATAATACTTGCATAGACAAACAAGATGTTATTGATAGGGAAGAATACTGCGTTGAACCGTGTACCGTTCAGGAGCAAAATTTTCCATCCGAAGTAAGTGACTCCGTTCTTACCGAGCTTGGTGAAATAAAAAGAAGCCAAATAAAGTCTTTTTTTGACGTGTTTGTTTAAGCCGTGCCTGCTTTGGATCACAACTTTTATAATTATTATTATTAAAATTAATCAAAATCGAAGACAAAATGAATAAATTAATAATTAAAAACAGCTTTTTCTTTTATTTAATACAAACTTTCATATTTATTGCAAATAAGGAAGATCATGTTTACTACCCAAGAAATTCAGTCTTATTCAAAGTAGTTCAATTGGAACGTACATAGATATGTTCAGTATCGGTCATATCTATAGCACGCCATTTCAAAATAATATTGTTTGCCACTTATGTTTATTTATTTATTTTTAAGAATTTTCAAATAAAACACAGTTCTTTCTCTAACAAAACCCATATAAACCAAAGTTTAAAAATTTGTATAAAACTACAAAAAAGTGCAACAATTTTTAACCCAAATTTCAAACTTTTTTCTCAGAAGCTGCAGAATCTTTTTGAGTACACAGTTTTATAGCGCATTTAATTTCAGACTAACGTACACATTCGTTTCAAGTGGCTAAAGTTACCGTTGATTTTTTAGAATTTTTTTCGCGGAAGGTGTTGCGGGTTTCTGCCATATAAAAATAAATTGTGTTTAGTCGTTATATGGAAGCACATGAGACAAAAAAAAATATAAAAAATCAACGGTAGTTTTAAGCCACTTGAAATTGAGCTATACAACTGTGTATTCCGAGAAAAAGGTTTGAAATTTAGTTGAAAATTTTTTGCACTTTTTTCAAATTGTCAAAGTTGGGTTTATATGGGGTTTGTTAGAGAAAGAACTGTATTTTAATTGGAAGTTCCTAAAAATAAATAAATAAACATAAGTGGCACACAATATCACTTTGAAATAGCGTGCTATAGATATGACCGATACTGAAGGTAATTACAAAAATTATGGGAATCACGAGAAGTAGTAACGTGTTGAATCACACAATATTACAGCTGCTTAAAAGTTTAGTTTTTAATTCATGAAATTACATATATGTATGATTTTTAGACGCTATTAAACGTTATAACATCTTGTGGATCCCTTTACTGTATTTACAAATTTTGGTTTGTAGGCTTTAACAGAATATAAAATAAGTTCAAGTGATTTTCTCTATCTGGTCCAACGCAGTGTTGGACAAATTGTAATTGTATTGTAATTTATAGAATTTATACCAAATTCTACAATACAAATACAAATGGTTTATATCATGATAAAAATATTACAAGGTAAATTCATTCTCTCAATTCGTCGGCCACGATTTTTTTCTGACGTTTGCCAACATTTTAAAATCATATAAAATTTAAAATAAATTGTTCACAATTGTTGTGGTTTGAGATTGAAAATGAGAATATATGTGTGAGTTAGAGTTTTGATTTTAAAATTATATTGTTGGCAAACTTCAGACTGCCTCTCAATGGTTTTACCTTGTTATGTTTTTATCATGGTTTATAATATAAGTATATAATATATATATATATATATATATAATATAATGTATAACATATATACATTGGTGGAAGAAATAATAGAAACTTTTTACTTTGACCAGTTTCGGCTATATTACTTTGTTTATTCGATGTTTAATGTTTTTGTATAAAAGTGTAGCGCAATATATAACACACACTATATAAATCCATATTTCAAAGTTTGTACAAAAATTATAAAAATTCAACAAATTTTAACAAAATCCCCCAAAAATTTTGAGCATGGTCGAGCATACTTTATATGGAAGAAAATGCACAACACCGCCAGGCAAATAAATTATTAAAAATCAATGCGATTTTCTAGCTTCTTGCGGTTTGCAGTTTTAGCTACTAAAATTTAATGGGCTATAAAACTGCATACCCAAAATTTTTCAAAAAAATCTGATTAATAAGTTTGAAATTTTTTTGCTTGAAAGGCCCAACGTCCGGCAAAAAGGAAGCGTACTTATCCAGCAAGAGTCTTGTTTCGCCTTCCGTCCATACTGCAAAAAAGCGTTGTTTAAAGGTTTAGCATTTTCGGCTTTTACTTTTTAATCAAAACATTCTCATATTACCTGTTACTATTTTGCTGCAATTGGGACTTTCTTCTTTAACTTGCATTATTTTGTATTTATTAATTTTCAATTGGACACCAAAATTTCTTTAAATTGCACTCCGTTTAGCGTGCGAAAAAACAGCTGATTGCATTTCAGGGTTGCAGTTTGTGATCCTTTGTAAGTGTGAAGGGCCACACTGAACCTTAAGCAGGGTTCCAAATTCACAGGGTGAAGTGCAACTTTAAAAGACTTTCGCACCTCGGTATGGCAACATATTCGTGTAGAAAAGAAAACGCTATAAGGCTAGTGCAGAGTGCAGCCGCGAATGACACTAAAGGTTAGTGCAGAGTGCAGACGGTAAAGCTGGTCGTTGCCACTTAATCGCGTACGTCCTCCTCGGCTAAGTCCTCCGGACTTAGAATGCCTTCGTGGGCTTGAAGGATACGGCATACTCGTTGGACTGGGCGCTGACACAAATGTTTGCGACAGAAGCCTCTTTCGAAAGTGCAGGATTCGATGGTGACTATGCGCACCAGCCCGTCACTCCCCGGATACACTGCTGTAATGCGACCGAAGCGCCATCGAGATGGAGGAAGCTGCTCTCCATCAGTGTCGCCTAAGCCAAGTGTGCAGCTGGATGCCTCGGAACCAGATGTCGCCGAAAGCACGTCCATATCGTTGGATTTCCACTTGCAAAGTCGAAAGTGGCCTTGTTGCAATATGGTGGAAATGTCTCGCGCTAACGTGATTGCTTCATTTGGTGTGTCAGCGCTATCCAGGAGATCATCCATATAAAAGTTGGGCAAGATACTGTCCCGTGCAGCTGCAGCTCGATTAGCATCAGGAACCACGATTTGGTTGTCAATGGCGCACTGGTTCAGAACACGAGCAGTGTTATAAGGGCTGCAAGCCATACCGTAGGTGACAGTCTTCAGTTGATACGCACGAAGCGGGTCATTGGGGCTTTCCCGCCAGAGGATCTGCTGTCAAAATCGATGCCTGGAGTCCACTTCGATTTGCCGGAACATCTTCTCGATGTCAGCCGTGACAGCTACGCGGAATCGACGAAAGCGTAAGAGGATGTCAACTAGTGGATCTTGAACTGCCGGCCCAACCAGCTGAGTGTCGTTCAAGGAGACGCCATTGCTGCTCTTCGCTGAAGCGTTGAAGACCACACGGACAGCATGGTGCGGTATAAAGTAGGCGTCGGATGCATCATCTCGTTGTAGCGTGGTCTTCTCCATGTGGCCGAGCGTCTCGTACTCGCGCTTAAACTGAACATACTTCTGGCGCAAGTCATCATCGCCCCTCAGACGCCTCTCAAGGTTGAAAAAGTGGCCCAGCGTCTTGCCGTAGGAATCACCGAATGCAGGCGCATCCGGAGAAAATGGG